TCTACCCTGCTTACACACTACAAAAATACTCTCTCTCTACCCTGCTTACAAAAATACTCTCTCTACCCTGCTTACACACTACAAAAGTACTCTCTCTCTATCCTGCTTACACACTACAAAAATACTCTCTCTCTACCCTGCTTACAAAAATACTCTCTCTCTACCCTGCTTACACACTACAAAAATACTCTCTCTCTACCCTGCTTACACACTACAAAGGCACAGTTATCCCCCTCTCTCTCGCACACCAAAAAAATTGCGCTTAATCATAAACCTACAAAACTACTCTCTCTCCTCTCTCTCTTCTTGGGTGCCTATCTCCCAAACTACAAAATACATTTTTTTCCTTCTATGGTTCTCTCTCTCTCTCTAAAAATTTTGATGGTTGTCTCGCTCTCATCGCCCCTCCATCTCTTTCTCTCTAATTTTTTTTGATGAATATGGGAGTCATAGTCTATTTTTATGGGGTGTTTTATGCCTTGAAATCAACAAAGGTCTGAAAAGCATTTAAAGGAAAGATGAAAAAAATCACCATTCTTCAAATTTGAGGGTGAAGAAGATCCAGGCCCCCTAATAGTAGTAGTAAGTGCACTACATTTTTAGCATGTTGGTTTCATAAGCAAGATGCCAAAGAACCGCAGCTCCGTATAAGAGAGAGAGAAAGGACATGGTAAAAGGGGTTGCGGATTTTAGAGAGAGAGAGAGGGAGAGCAGGTTGTTAGTCTCTTTGCCCTACTGCTCTGAAGACGCGCTCATCGCAAATGCAAACCCTAAAGACTTCCGGTTTTTCTCCTCATTGAACTTTGCTCATCGCATGGTAAGTGACGCATTCTCTATCTCTCTCGCTCTCTCACATTGCTCAATCATGGTTTGATATTTCAAACTAGGGTTTAATTGATGAGGGATTTCGTACATTGAAGGTGAGGTTTTGGTGTTCTTGTAATTTGGGATGGAGTAGTACAGGAATGTTTTCTATTTCTGGGTTTTTACTGATTTTGTATGGGATCCTGGTTTAGGGTTTTCTTTGTTTTCTTATTTGTTTTGTTTGTCAATTTGAAAGAACTGTGTAGTAGGGTTTTAGTATACAGGGTTCTGTCCTGATTGCAGTGATGGGGTAGGGAAAGAAGGTTAATTTGGGTTTTGTGTGTGATCCTTTCATGCGAGAATGGAGAGCTACTTTTTGGTTTTTTAGGGTTTCGGATTGTGGGTTTGGCTAATCTTTTAAGGTTTTTGGGGCATCGTTGTTTGAAAGTTGGTGTTTTTGGGTTGTGGGCTTGGTTGCTGGGTTCAAATGTGATGGAAAACAACATGGTCCCAATCCAAATTGGTGTTTTCGGTTGATATACTTGCTAACGTCGAGGCCTTTGAGATTCAATCCTTTTTGTCATTTCAGAAGGCAGAGGGGATTATGTTTGTTTTTTTTGCTTTTTGTCTCTGAAGTTTTTTTTTTTTTTTACCCCTTGAGAGTCTGGTTTTCTTCTTCTTCTTTTTTTTTTGCCTTTTTTTTGGGGTAAAGAAGGGTGTTTTCTTGGAGTAAATGTGATTTACAGTCATGTGATTTGTGGGGTTAGAAGAGACTTGTTGTGCTGCTAATGTGGGGGCTTGTGACATGACTATTTTGTAAGACTCTTGCTTCCTCCATATCAGTATTATCCTTTTGTCCACCTAGAAAAGGGGGTTTTAGAAGAAATGGTGAACAAAGGCGCTACAGGGGGGCGAGATTTTGTAGCCGAGGGCTTAGCCAGGGCCCTTTTTGGTGAAGATATCGGCGGTAACAGTTTCCTTGATGCTAGCTTCGAAGGTTCCGCTGAAGAGCATCACATATTTTCCTCCATTTTCTTTGGAAAGGATCACCCTTTCAAGATGGTCCCTGGGAAATCAGGAAACTCTAATCCAGATACAGGGTCCAGTTTCAGTTTTAAGGAGCCACTGGGAACTAGTCTCATAGAGGCTGGTGCAATTAAGACCTATTCCCCATTGGCTGCTTCCAATCCTGAAAACACTATTATAATCCGTCAGTTGTTGAAGCCATTGGAGAAACTTTCTGGCCTTGGGAACCAAGTGGAGAGACCTGAAGGTCAACCAGAGCCGGTTCCTGGATCAAGCTGCTCTCAAGAAGGCTCGAGTTTGCTTGGTCATGGAGTTGGCATGGATTCTAACAATGGGTTGAGTTCGAAGAGCATGATATCTCATGACAGAAGATCTAGCTGTGAGTATTATGAGTCAAGTTCTTGCTTTGTTGCCGTGCCTTCTGGGAAGCTACCCAAAGTTCTAAACCAGAGAATTGAGGCAGGAACCAGTAAGGCAAGCCCTCAGTTCGATCCTTATGATAAAACTTGCAGGCTTATAACGAGCCCCATTGTTGAATCCTCTGGTCATGGCATTATATTGAGGCGCTATTTCTTGAACAACTCCACTAAAAAAGAATTTAAGGGCAGTGGTGATGCCAATGGGTGTTCTGGGTACATGTATCAGAAGCCCGTGGCCCCTTTGGAAGCTTGTAACATGAATTCTGCAAGCCCAGATGGTAGACAGAGCCACAAAAATTTCGATGAACAAAATTTTTCTGCTTCTGATTTTCAAGAGCCCTGTAGAGCTCTTGCTATTGTAAAAGAAACTGAGGACGTGAAACCCATTGATATTCTTCCGTCGGAATCGGATTTTCATAATTTGTCAGCACTGGAGAAGAGCTTTATGATATCAGATCTTCGCCAGAGGTTTCGTCAGCATCTAAGAGATTTTCTTGTGGATGCTGGGTGGGAAATCAGGCTTCGGGCAAGGCGTAACAGGCCCTCTCAGGACTCTGTGTATATATCACGGGAGCAAGGATCGGTGTACTTCGCTTCTCTTCCTAAAGCTTGGAAGGCATGTGGAGAGGGCTTTGGTTTTTGCTGTCACATGGAAACAGCTGAAGATAAGTGGTGTGACAAGAACAGGGTATGGGCTGACTTGTCTGATACGCTAAATTATCTTGAAAAGGAAGCACAGAAGAACAAGTGCTCTTCTTCTTTACCTTTGCGGTGGGATTTACTTGATCCTTTTGTCAGTGCTATTCTTATTGAGAAGCTTGCTACATTTCATAGGGACTGGACAGTGAGATCAATTGCAGGAGCATTGGATGTGGCTGAAGACAATGATGCGTCTGCTAGAGGCATTCATCACCACCCAGAGTTTGTGGCCAAGAAAGAGAAAGGGTCTTTGAGATTAACTAGGGCAATGAAGGGAAAAAGAAAGATGTGGTCTGATGAAGTTTCTGAATCCTTGATGAAAAGTGGCAAAAGTAATGGAGAAATATGGAAGCAGCAAGCTGTTTGGGATCCTTTGGCTTCTGGGGAAGCACCACTAATTGTCGACCATGAGGTTTCCTGTGTGATAAACCCAACAGGACAGTATTCAAACATGAGTAGGATTTTGCCAGGTAATTCCAATAAAATGGAACTCCAACTAAGAGAGAGAAATTGTGAGGTGGGACCGTCTCTATCATACGAGGATCCCAGATATTATGGTTACATGGATGGATCTCATACTGCTTCTAATGATATAAATGGAGAAATTTTAGATTTCTCAGCCCAACCAGAAGAAAAGTCGTTTCAATTGTTGAAAGGTCCATTGCCACGTGGGTCTGTTAACAACCTAAGAAGTAATTCACTTGTCAGAACTAGCAACTTACGAAAGAAGTCTAAGAAGGCATGGGCTATCGAAACAAGTGATCCATGTGAAAGACACGACAAGACTGATGGGTTTTTTGAGCTTGTAGATAAGGTCCGGAAAACTCATTCAGGTATGTTCCAAAAGAATGATTTGAATAAGTCCCGGAAGGGTTGCAGAAGGTCAGTTATAGGGGCTGATGAGGAGAATGGTCCAGGTGGGAAAAATATTGCAGTCCATGAAAATGGCCAGTCTTTGGAGACTCGGTATAGCAAGAAGGCTAAAAAATCAAATAGATGCAAATTGAGCAGTAAAATTGCAGGGAAGAGACTAAGATATGAGGTCGCTTCAAACACACCTAGATGTGAGATAGAGGATGACGATCTTTTAGTTGCAGCTATTATAAAGAAAAATGAATTTACCCCCAAAAGTAAAAAGTTTAAGCTTAGGGCAAGGAAACTGCCTTCAAGATCCACTAGGAAGCTCAAAAGTCAAAAGAGAGGTTGCAAGTTGCAACCTCGAAATCCTTCCAAAGGTGGCAAGGATTCCATGGGGGAATGCTGGTCCCCTTTTGGTAAAAGAACAGTGCTTGCTTGGTTGATTGATGAGGGTGTATTGTTTGAGAATGAGGTCATCCAGTATAGAACCCCTAAGGATAATGAAATAGTCAAAGATGGGTGGGTTACTAAGGATGGGCTGCTGTGTAAGTGCTGTCAGGCGGTTTTTTCTGTGTCTGAATTTAAAGTCCATGCCGGTTATAAACCATGCCAACCCTCTCTGAACATATTCTTGGAGCGTGGAAAGCCACTTACACTCTGTCAGCTCGAGGCTTGGTCAAATGAATACAAGGTCAGGAAAAGTGGGAAACCTATAGTGGAAACTGAGGAGATGGACCTGAATGATGATACTTGTGGACTCTGTGGAGATGGGGGTGATCTCATATGTTGCGATTACTGCCCTTCAACCTTCCATTTGGCTTGCTTGTCTGCGCAGGTTTGTCTTTGGCACACAATTTCATTCTTTGTGCTTTGTTTCTACCTAATCCAATGGAATATGGAATGAATGCAGTCTACTGCTGATCACTGCCCATTGACATGATGGACAGTGATGGAGACTTGGAAATCGAGTGGGATTCATCGTTGGGGTCATGTCCTGTTCTTTGTCTCCCACTCTCTACACCACAGTCTATCTTTCAATGATAGGCGTTGTTTCTTCTCCTTTCATTCTGTGTTTGTTTCCTTATGTGTGCTTCTTTGTCATTGTCTGAAAATGCATGTTGTTAGCGAGTCAGTGATCCTTATGGTTGGGCTTATTGCATTTCAGAAACATAGGATCCCTTCAAACATGAGTTTTTGTTATGGGTTTAACTTAATCATGGTGATTCAATGCTAAATTTAGTATTTACCCTATGGAAAGTGTTCTACTCTAACGACCTGAGGCTTTTTTAATGATCATTCTATTTCTCCCATGGGTTTATAATGATATGTGAGGAGGGAGACGACGAAAGGACTAGGAAAAAAAAGACTTTATGAAATTGGCTTTGTTAACATGGGTGAACCACTTTCTGTTATTGCATCTGGTTGCTCATTTTGAGAAGTTGATTTCAAACCAAAGGTTCTGCAGAAATGCTTTTTAGGATCTTTAAAATTACATAATATTTCCACCTTTATTCTTTCTCCTTTGGATAATTAACCATTGAATATATGAGAATGAAGTAGGCCTTTCAAAAGCAAAAAGAAAAATATATGAGAGACAAGTTACACTAAGAAATTACAAACAAATGGAGAGAACTAAAAATCAAAATCCTCAAAGGTCTTGGAGTTGGATGCAGCATCATCTTCCAAGTCATTGGACTCACTATAAAGGGGAAATTGATGTAGCTGCTTCAGAGAATCCTTTATAAGGTCAGCAAGGTGCCCCGATCAGGGAGAAGCTTTCGAACTCATCAAATGACAAAGAAACAACATGTTCAACAATGCAATCATCTCTGCTGTAAATTACCCTGGTGGTTTTGGCTGTGTTAGGGTCAAAGAGTGGACTCGCATAAAATCTCAATTGCAGGAGTTGAGGTTCCAGCAAGTTTCCTAACTGTTCTGACAAGTCCTCTAGGCTGTAAGTTACAATCATGTTTGCCAAGGTAAATCCAGATAAAACCTTTGGGATAGTGCATTAGCGCAACGGCTTTCGCACTTGGCTAGCCATTGCTTTTTGCAAGAAAATGGGTGCATGTTAGCGCACCGGCTTTCGCCCTGGCCGTTGCTTGTTGCAAGAAAACAGATGCGCTGACCCCTACGAGTGAGCAGAAAAGGGAGGAGGAAAGAGGACCTGGTGAACCAAAGTGAACAGGTGTAAGCTTCGCTGCTCAACAATATTCAGTCCTGACCACACCGAGGGACAGGCCCTGAAGCGAAGGACGGGAACGAGCAGAATCAATGCGGTGAAAGTAAATTGGTTTGCTGAAGGCATTGTTCCTCTCCTTTGCGGGCAGCGTTGTGCTTATTCATTCAGGTCTCTGCAATATTCTTATTTAATTTTGTGCCCTTCTTTCAAATGGCAATTGCAGTTTTGATAGATACAAAGAATATGTATGACATTATGGCAAGGTAATAGTGAAGAGACGAAATTTCAAGCAGCCAAATGGTAGACTGTGTGTAAGTGAGTCCTAGGAGGGTTGGGAATTGGGAGACTGAGCACAACTAACTAGGAGCTTGAAGTTAAGTGTATATCGCAGTCAGGTCTGGTGGATGACAACCTTTGGGTTAGATTCCTAGTGAGTATGGGGTAAGTGATGTTGGGCAGGGGTTGACGGAGCTGGTTATGTCTTTCAGGGACCTCGGGTCTTGGAGGAGTAACATGAACTGTGTCCATCGTACTGAGCTAGTTTTAGGTTTTGGGTGGGTACTGGGGAGCAGTGTTTTAAAACTCGGTGAGTTGACTAAGGACTCACTTGAGATGGCATGCCTTGGCCATCTACCAAATATGGATTGGTGATTGAGTTTTGGTCAAGTCTGTTGTGGCTCAGGTGAGAAAGCTCAAATCAGGCCAATCATGAGTCCTGATCCGAGACTGTGATGGGGAGAGAATGCAGTTCTTGTATGACACTTGGTACAAGGAGATCCCACTAAAATCAGGCTCTTGAAAGATTACGAGGTCACTATTCAATTTGTTTGTGTTGGTCCAGGATTATTTTCGATAGACGGTTGGGAGGGTAGTTTAGTGTCCTCCTTTGGGCTGGAACCTTAGGAATTCAGAGAATTATACTCCTTGCAAGTTTGTCTTGAAGTTGTGGGTTGTCTGGATCCTAAAGTATTTGAACTCATGTTTTGCATACCCAGGATATCATACACTCAGCCATAGTTAGCGCATTTTTTTGCCCCAAAGCAGGCTATCTGTGTACCAAAAAGAGGTCAAAACATGAGTTTGCTAAAAGAAAAAACGGAAAAAAAAAACTGTCATTTGTAGACCAAGTTTTTGGGTATGCATTGCAAAAAGACATTGGAGTGTGGGCCGCCCGTTTGGTCCCTCTCTCCCTTCCTCCCCCCCCCTCTCTCTCTCTCTCTCTCTCTTAAAACCCATATCTACTCTCTTCCATCTCTCGTGTCCATTGAAGCACCATTCATCCTCCTCGAACCACCTTCTCTCTAACACATAGATGTATAGAACTTCACCTAATCATTAATCAATCTTGAACCCCATATTTTTCTCTTCACATTTGGACTCGTTTTTACTTGTTATATAGCTATTATTTATTCTCTTGAAAATGCGAAAGCCCCCTTTTTTCATTTTATTTTTGTTATTATTCTCCTTTTCCTACAAAATAAGTTGCAGATTTCTTCTTCTTTTTTTCTTGGTTTGGGATTATATCTTTTTTGTCCTTTTTCTTTTTGATGAATCATCCAGTATCCTCTTAACTGATTTTGAATCAATCTTTGCCATTCGTTTTTTTTTTTGGTGCTAGCAAAATGAGGTTTAAAGCATTTACATATTATACTATTTCACTTAGCAAAAAAAAGGGTTATTGTTTAACAATAATGATTCAATTTTTTTTCTTCTTTCTATTTAATGGAATCTGCAAATCAGAGATTGACTTCTGTTATTTTTTCTATTTAATGTTTTTATGTTTTACAGTTTACTGCAAATACCTTATTGCTCTATTGTTTTTTCAATAATTACAAATGTGGTGATTTCTTGGAATTCTTTCCCGAGTCTTGCTAAATCATTCTTGCAAAGGTAATCTTATTCTGGTTTCTTGTAATTTGGTCTTTTCACCCAAGGTTCTTGAATTTCAGCCTTGAGAAATGGGTCATTACGATAAACAAAACAATTTGAATTTAGTTTCCAGGGGTTCTCTTTACCTTTCGGTTTTCAGAATCATGTTATTTTTCTCATAAACTTTACCCATATGATCTTCAAATAATTAATATCAGGCAAGCTGACAGCGTTTTTATTTTTACTCACAACAAAATATTAATTAAGAATCCCAAGTAGCTCATAACTTCTAGAATACGAGTATAAAGGAATCCAAAAATGAAAATAGGAAACATGAGAAAACCGTTTTTAACATGGAAATAGAATGAAATTACAATCCTATGTTTTACAAACATATCACCCACACTGGGGATTTGCATATCGTATGTTCCCTCCAAAAGCTATCCAAACAGCATTGTCCCAATAACAATGATCTTCATACCAGGCTTTTGCATAATCCTAATATAATCAAAACTTGGTTTTGCATACACAGGGCACCAAATGAGTATTAGTCTTTGTTTTTCACACTGTTGTTACTCGTGGCAAGGTTTATGGTCATGACAGTAATGGGAAATTCTTATTCTGGTCATTTGACTGAGTCCTTTAGAGGTCATATTTGGAGATGCATCTTGTTTGATTGATTTGGTCCGTTCCAGCCTTACTGAGAGCTGTAGCTTGTTATTGATTTTAGGTAAAGTCCTAAATGGTGAGCAATTGCACCATCCGGGCCTTTACTCCCTATGTTATCTATCTGTATTGGGATGTTGAAGAAACTATGGACCATTTATTGCTGCCAGTGTTTCAAAAAGCGCTAGGCGGCACCTAGGCGGTCGGGGGGTTCAGGTCGCCCAGCGCTTAGGCGGGCGCCCAGAACTTGGGCAGCCCAGCAATTTTTTTTTTTTTTTTCTCTCTCTTTAAAATAGCCTCTAATGGGTTTTAGGTTAATTTGAAACCTAAAACCCACCATATTAAAAAAAATGACCCAAAAATGGCCTCAACGAGCGGCATTTCTGCCCTTGGGCGGCCGCCTAGGAGGGTTCCCGGGCGCCTAGGTGGGCGCCCGAGGAAAGCCGCCTAATTTTGCCGCCTAGGCTTGGGCGATGCGCCCAGGCCTTTTGGACCGCCTAGGTGGCCGCCCAGGCGCTGGGCAGTCTGCTTTTTGAAACACTGATTTCTGCACTGCACCTACCATCCACATGGGTGTGAAGTTTCTTCCTGGATATACTTGAGACTAATTGGGTTATGCTTTCCTAGTAGAAAGGATCTCAGTGTTGGATTGGTTTCTTACTATGTATGTTGTGCTTTCTGACTATCCTTGGTGTTTGTGGAAGGAGAACAAGAGTAGGATCTTGTTGTGTTGTTTAGGACATTACTTGTGGCAGGAATGAGGACACGGTTGTCTCCTGCACCCTGGCTTCTCCTGCTTTCCATGGAGTTGTATCCCAAGACTTCCTAAAGATTGGGCCATGAATACTCATCATTCTGTACATCAGTCCAGGATGGATGCCTTGTGGTCTTCTCCACCAACTTGTTCCAAGTTTAACTTCAGTATGAGATCTGCTGAGTCCATATCCGACAGGGATGAGAGGAGTCTATATGATTGTGTATGGCAGGTCTGAAAATCATTTTTGGGCCTATGTTAGGGAGTGACGCTCATTTATGTCTAATGTACTTTCCTTCACATTTATAGAAATGCAAACAAGTTGTTGATAAGCCTCCCAAGGAGGTATGGTCCTCAACATGTAATGTTGAGGACCCATTGTCTTTGCCTTCTTTTTTTTGTTGTTTTCCTCCTCCCATCACTTTGTTTTCCCTCTCTTCTAGTCTTAGCCACTCGTTCTCTTTCTCTTTCCCATCACTCTTCTCTTCCCTGTCTTCATTCTTTTTATGTTGGTTTGTATAATTTCTTTGAGTATTCCTTGAAGTACTTTCTTTTTATAAATTTTCGATCAATGTTAAGAAACAAACAAAAAATAAGAGTAGGTCCTTCTCAACCTTTCCCGATGGACACTGCAAAGAGGGGGAATCTGACCAAGTGGCGAGAATTTTCCCACAGATGAAGACAATTAAAATTACAACTGCTGTGTTTTAGCTCATCGTCCTTCATTAGCCGACATTTTGTTCAACCTTAAGGCCTATCTGTACCTGGTGCAACTTGATATGCATGGAAATGTTTGGAGGGGGGTATGTTTTGCAATAAAGCATAATAGCCCTGGGCCACTTCTGCTGGTTGAAAGGTTATGGGTTTCCACGTCCTTATGTTACCAAACGGATGCTCAAAACAACCTTTTTAAGCCACATATTACAATGGTGATGGAAAGAATACTCAGCCCTATCTTTCTATTGTATGGAGAACAGTGAGATGCCACAGGCATCAAAATAGCGATTGTAAAAGGTGGCCCTACCAAACTTGTCCTCAGTGATTTGATCAATGAAACTCCCACATCAAAATTAGTGATTAAAAACTCAAATGCAACTCTGAAGAACTTGAGGACCCGACTTACCCACTCATTGTTTTACAAATGAAATATTGGATTTGCACAAGTTCTATCATATTAGTGGTATTTTGACGGGGTGGTTGGAGTGTGGTGTCAATTCCCGCATGTTCCAGGTCCGATCCCACCTAAGACATGTTCCTTTTAATAGCTCTTGATACTTTTTGTAGTTCGTTATTCAACTCAGCAAGTCAAATCATTTTTGATAGTTCACAAGTTGGCTATCCAGTTTGAGTTGTTAACAGCCTATGTACTTGGTTTCTGGTCTTTCATGAATATTCCCTTTCCACTTCGCCTTACATTTCCTCATATCAATATCCGACGCATGTTGCATAGTCCCTTCCAACCTTTGTGTTTTCTTCTTCTTCATGTTTTTTCGTTTTTGTTGGGATGAGTGAGAAGTGAGTTTCCACTTTGCTTTACATTCCGATAGACATCCTGCATTTTCAATGTTGGATCCAAGTTGAGTGCTTTGGAGCCTCGTCCAACTCGCCTGTCCAAAAGATTTTTCCTTTCGCAGGTTGTAGTGCCCTATCCTCATTCCTCCATCACCAAAAGACCCTCAAACGGGGTAAACCTGGGGGAAAGTGGTTGATTTATCAACATTAAGATTCTATTTTCTGGAGATCATAATGACGCCTTCATATTGATAATATGAATTCATCAACCATTTTTCTTTGAAGGTAAGCCAATAGATGCCTTTCTTCTTCTTCTTCTTTTTTGGTGTGTGTGTGACTATTCTTCTTTGTTGTTTGATTGCAAGACTTTTATATATGGGAAACAGTTGGAAATGGTTCTGGTGGTTTTTATAGATATCTTGGAAAGAATGTGCAGTAGGTTTGGCCCTAATTTTTTCTTTTGAAAGTTTACATGCGAAAAGACATTAGAAAATTGATTACATCAAGCTCAGCTCTAATTTTTAATGGTTAAATGGTTACTTTCCCGCCCCCCTAATTTGCCAAAAGAAAAGGTTGTCTAATAGTATAATTAGAAGAAATATACTCTTGAGTTTCATTGTCCTCCATAGTATTTCTCTTCGGTGGCTCCCTTTAAAACCTTGCAGTAGGTTCCTTTTCTTTGATGAAATCTCATTTGCTAAAGGATTTTCTGTGTATGTATACTATGCTTAGTACTTTGGCTTATTGAAATGAATATTGTTGCTTGTGTTGTATATGTTTCTGGAGATGTAGGAATTTCTTACTGTCTTTGTGATATTTAGGAGCTCCCTGAAGGAAGTTGGAATTGCCCATACTGCACCTGTAAGATTTGTGGGAGTGTTGTGTCCCATAAAGAAGCTTTGAGTTTACCCGTTGTATTGGAATGTTCACAGTGTGAACATAAATGTAAGCGGTTTACTATTTGTTTTGAATTTCATGACATTTTCTTTTATTTTACCTCAATTTATATTTGTTCATTGTGATACTCTATTTGTCTTGTGCTTCTTATGATCTCATTATGCACAAGATGTATTTTGTGATAACAATATATTCTTTTTAAAACAGATCACAGTATTTGTGTGAAAGGAAATGGCACACGGGGAGAAGAGGAAGTAGTCTCAGATAATTGGTTTTGTGGACAAAGCTGTCAAGAGGTGTTGTTTTTTTACATGGGCTGCTTGGTTTTTTTGTTGCATGCATTTAGGATGCATCCTACACAGAAGTTCTGTTTTTTTATATTCTTGTGCAGGTTCTTCTTAGAATGGATCCTTTGCAGCGTGTAATTATTATTAATTTGTTAATTGCACTTGGAAACCTTTTGAAAGTATTAAATGGAGTGTACCTTTTTTATTTTTTTGTCTAAGCAAGAGAAAAAAGAAAACTAATCCCCACATTCATGTGTATGCAGTGATTATGCATGTTTTACTATACAAGATTAATTAGATAGGCAAAGGGGGCTGGCTGTCCCCTTGGCAAATTGTGTTGATATTTGATTAGATAGCGGATATTCTCTTCCTGTAGTCTAATGAGGAGGCAGATAGTCTCACTAAAGCGTGTTTCATGCGATACCCTTCTGGTTGAGGCTGATGCTTTGACTCACCGAGATGTTGTGTTGACATATCTTTGATGTCAATCCCTAGCTTATTCTACATATTTTATCTAATTAATATAGTTACTGTTACGAAACAGACAAAAGAAACTCGAATTAGTAATTTGATGAAGTTTAAATGATCCTCAGAAAGTTTAATTTAATCTTGTGAATAAATTTTTTTTTTCACCTTTTCGGGTGAGAAGTGGTATATCAGGTCTGGTAAGCTCCTTTCTAAATGAAATATCAGCAGGTTCAGTCTCTCTCTCTCTCTCTCTCACACACACACACATACACATACACACACAGACACACACAAACAACACACGTGGTGTGTGCTACTAACCACTGAGTTCTCCTCCCATGCCAAGCTTCTATGTCTCATGTTCATTGTGAAATGATCTTCCTGTGCATGGTTTTGTCATTTATTTGACTGTAAGAAACTTCTAGTTTTTGGTATGGCTATTAGTTTTATAGATTAGTTTGTTTTCCCTTTTGCCGTTATGCCGAAATTTTCATTAGCAAAATATTAATTTGCTTATGAGATGTTTTATTTTCTTTGCCCTATAGCAACTTATATTTATGGGTTTAAATGTAGGTCTACTCAGGTCTGCGTTCTCGTGTTGGAGTGGTGAACCACATTGGGGATGGGTTTTCCTGGACACTTCTTAGATGTATTCATGGTGATCAAAAGGTCCACTCTGCACAAAAATTTGCGCTGATGGCGGAATGTAACACAAAGCTAGCTGTTTCCCTAACTATCATGGAGGAATGCTTTGTACCAATGTTAGATCCTAGGACAGGCATAGATATGATTCCCCACGTCCTATACAGTTGGGGGTATGTGTCAAAGACTCTCTCTGTGGCTTCATGCTCCGTGGACTTTATTATGTACTTCGGCATGATATGCAAACATTACATACTCATTTTTATGGCACTAAATATCCCATTAAGTGTATGACATTTCATTTGTTGTGTGTTACAGACTTATAATGATAAAGAGGGGTGTCATTTTATGATATGTGCCTATATTTCGAAACAGTCCCTCTAATAATGCTTTTAGTTGTAAACCTGGAAGAATTTTTTAATTCCAAAGACTTGTAGATCTTCTTGGTTGCGTTCTCAGCTTAACTCTTTAACTGTCATATGTTTGGGAATTCACTTCCATACTCTCTTTGAGGAATTCATGGAGGAATGTTTGAGGAAAAATCATTCACGGGATTGTGTTTTGAAACTGAGGGGCTCTAGAAGTTGCTCTCATTGGGAGTAGAAATGCGAAAATTGAGGACTGCATGAGGGAACATGCTACAGTCGATGAAAGTTAATAAAGATGAGGTAGGGGATAGCATGAGGGATGATGTCATCGTGCGTGAGAATGATGGAAGGAGTAGATGTGAAAAATGGATGAGTAGAATGGGACGTGCTAAGAAAAAATGTTTTGAGGGGGGCATAAATACGTTTATGGGGACGAAAGACGTGAAAGAGGGTGCTATGGCGATCTGTATCATCCTAGCAGAGATCGGCTGTCTGAGGGGCACTAGAAGTAGCTTTCATTGGGAGCAGAGAAATATGGGAAATTTTGAGGGCTACATGAGGGAACATGCTACAGTAAATAGAAGGCTAATAAAGAGGAGTTGGGGATAGCATGAGGGATGATGTCATCATGGGTTCAAACAATCTTGTGTGAGAATGATGGAAGAGGTAAATATGAAAAAAGATTTCAGTAGAAAGGGCTAAGAAAATTTGTTGTTTGGGGGGGGGGGGGGGTGGGGCGATGTGCATGAAAATGCATGGAAAGATATGATTGGTTTGGATAAGCGGCAGCAATATAACCACAGTTTCTAAAATAGTTACCCCTGGTGGATGAATATGGGGCAAAGAGATGGGCCATTGGGATAGTTTAGTGCTGCATGTTGGGAATTAAACATTACAGGTCTGAATGCCCTGGATCAGGAGGAATTCTAATTGGCCACATGAATGCAGCAGGAATTGCTGGCAGAATTTGGTTACTCTGGGGGTATATGCGGAAGTTTGGTGGATGATAGGAAGTGGTTTGTTTTATTGAGATGGACCTGTTGAAGATTTCATTATATGGTCGATGGTGGGAAGATACAAGTTAAGCATTGAACATGTGTGAAAATTGAAATGATGTGTGGTGGTGTTTTGGTGGGGATTTCTTAATGCAATCCAGCTGCATCATAATTGTAGCTATAGATTCATGTGTGTGCTGGACCCAAACACTTCAGACAACATGCAAAGTGGGGCCATGGAACCGCAGTTTCTATTTATTTTTCTTTTTCCAAAAAACAAAGATGTTGATATCGTTTTGGAAGTCATAACCTTTTTGTGGAATGCTCATGGCCTTGCCTCTTGCCCTTTACCAATGTTCGTCCTTGTCAAGTCCCAAAGAACACAATATTAAAAAAGAACACATTTGATTTTTGGATATCTTCTATCTTTGTCATGGTTCTGGTAGTATGTGCGACTGATTTAACTGGTCTTGCTTTTGCTATAATAATTATTCTATTTCTCAATATCATTTTCCTTTGCCATGTTTCTTGTGTTTGGTAAAATGGTTCTCGCTTGCTGTGCAGATCGGATTTCTCTCGCTTGAATTTTCAAGGATTTTACACAATTGTCCTGGAGAAGGATGATGAACTCATATCTGTGGCTACCATCAGGTATAGTGTGATGCATCCCAATGACTTCCCTTATTTTGTAGATCAGGTTTTCTGTCAAAAAATGATTAGATTTTTTCAAAGTGTCCCCCATTGTAGACTTGTTTAGCTTGATTTATGATATTAATACCTATTTTATTTTGGCATGACTAATATCACGCCTTCATGCATTATGATCATCTTTCATACTCCCTTCCTTGCTCTCTCCATGGACACAAGCAAACCCAATGTCTTCTAAGGCACTAGCAGTGAGGGGACTGCCTTGCCTAGGTGCTTCAGATGGTCACCGTATGCCGTGCCTAGAGTTCTTTGGAGATGAATATTTGAAAATTGTAAAAAGTATAAAAATAATTTTATACCTATTTTGTGATTGGAATGTGCAATAAAACATCATTCATCTAAGTTCATGTCAATTTTGAAAATAAAATTTTAAATTTTAGATCACACTTCTCGGAAAGAGTGTATTTCTCCAATTTAGAGAAAACTCAAAATTTAATGCTAATCTAGGTTTTTGTACCAGAAAATAAGGGTTTGCTTGAATGTTGTATATGGAGGGACATCCTGCGCGGTGAGCGATCGTTTGGTTCCTTTCTAAATCTTTGATTTGATTAACCAAATGGTGACAAATTTCTAACCGAAAATCCATTTGTTAGTCGTGCATCTCATTTGGTAAATGATGCATCTCATTTGGTAAATGATGGGGTAATTTCTATAAGGATATGTTTAATAAAAACTTCTTCTCCTAATTCTACTAGTTTGCTTCTTTGAAGGGTTCATGGAGTCACTGTTGCAGAGATGCCCCTTATTGCAACTTGTAGTCAACATCGGCGCCAAGGAATGTGTCGGCGTCTCATGAATGCACTTGAGGAGGTTTATCTCTTTATACCTTTAGCACACTTCAACCTAATCTTATCCATGAAGAGCTATTTTGCTTTTATTTATGCACGGTCCGGTTGTGTCTCAACTTGATTGTGCTTTGAAGTAGAATTTGAGGTTATCATGTTGTTGGTTTCACATTTGAAAGTCCTTATTACTGAAGGATAAGAACGTCTCATCGCAATCAATGTTCTTTTTTACTTAGCTCGGGCTCGGAACTTGGCCACTGATCTGACCAGGTTACTTAGGCAAGTAGGAGTCAACTTGTTTGAGACGAATCCCGGCCACCTTATAAGCCCAAAAAATGAAGAAAAAAGGGGGAAAATCTTAAAAATCTGAAGATAGAAGAACAGAAAAATTGTTAACATCTGAGAAAAATGAAAACGATATGAAATTTGAAACTAATGTGATGATAATGAGATGTAAAAGCTTATTGATCATTTATTTGATAGATTGCAATAAAAATTTAACAATAACTAAAATAATGCCGGATCAAATAAATTAACACTTAACAAAAAATAAATAAATGCTGGATCAAAAAAAATGTTCAAACTTCAGGCATATATATGAAGTTTAAAGTGAAAGAAAAAAAGTTACGAAAAATCTGGAGCAATGTTCATGTATATGACGTCTTCGTGCTTGATGCAAAATGACTTCTCCGATTCTCATCAAAGCTTCCTAAGATGATTACAAACATACTTGCCAGGATTGGGTTCAAACAGATCTGGGGGACTGAGACTGTAGGATCATTACAAGCAGAAAGTTCCCTATAGTACGGATCATGTTCAATTCTTCTATAGTATACTATATGCTGCTATATTTAAATTTATTATATATGGCTATGTAATATATAACATGGCTATATATTATGCACTAGTATTCTATACCACACTCCTAGATTGTAATTTACTGCTTTGCTTTATTTTTGTACTAAGTTGCACTTCTATATTATACTATACTGGTTTACGATACTACAATGTAGGGAATCATGATCCTTGTAACTCAGGTTCACGATCCCTAATAGGAAGGATTGAGATTCAATGGTTTAAAAACCACAGAGTGAGATTCCCTTCCTCTTGAGTGCAGGAGCAAGATTCTGGAGCGGAATCGACCCCTTGGTTGGAAGGTCTCGACAACTAAGATAAATGAAACCTCTATACCAGTTTTGAGTTTCCACTTTGGATTTGGGAGATCCGCGCTCTTAAAAAATTCCGATTAATTCGGATGAATAGTAAATCCGATTTTCAATCTCTCTAATACTAATCTTTTATAAGATTTATAAAAACAAGCCTTTAGGTCGATGAAGATCCCAGAGGTAGGTTAAGATATCAAATTTCATTGAAATTGGGTCATCTAATGCGAAGAATTTACAATTTTTGGATATAAGAAAAACCCTTAATTGAAATCTTTGATTTCTCAAACCCATCGAATTTGAAGGATTTTTCTCAAATTTAAATAGTCCTAATTGGTAAATCAGGCTAAAAGAGGGATAAAATTTTGGCTTAAACAATCTCTCTAGGGTCCTCAATGCCCCGCCCCTCCCCGGGGCCCAATTCTATAAAATACAGTACTTGGGCGGGTATCGTAGCGGATCGTCTGAGTCTTGTGAAATTCAGGCAAGTCAGCCAGAGTTTCACAATACTGGTGTGAGTTTGTATAGTGCTTGCTGAGTGCTGTACACTTCATGTAGTGTGAAACACCCCACAACCCTCCCATCCCCCTCTGCCCTATATGCGAGTCCGAGTTGGTCTCACGAGTTTGAAAAGCCCTGATCACAATAAAGCCCTTTGTAATTCATTGCAAAATTGAACCTATTCTTTGCTGATTGTACTATGGTGAGCTCATAACATTTCTCAGCAGGTCTGTTGATATAGTTTCTCTTAAGTGAGATATGGTTAAGATAAACTAATGACAGATAAATGCAGTGTGGGTTTCAAGGCGGCCTGACTAGTGGCCAACTAAAACATGCCGGATTGCATGTTTTCCATTATCGTATCTGTTTGTCATTAAATATGGTATTTTTTATGGAAAATATTAGGTTGAGTTGTGCCGATTTTGTTTTGGCACCACTGCATATTTTACTGGTAAATCATCAATACTAGGTGCCTGGCCTATATTGTGTGAATCTTCGATCCATGGGGCTCTCATGTTGGAATCTAAATATTACAAGTTGTTGGGATTCAAAGAAAATAAGCTGATTATGATTGACTTGAATAACACATTTTCATGGTTTGGATATCCACAGAATGTCCTTGGGGCATGAGGTTTCCCCCTCTATTGCCTCCAAAGTCGGCGAACTTTCCTACGAACTGGTTGATTCCCTATTGTGAAGATCCATACCCACATTCAAAGACTTCCATGTTCCAATAAGCATTTAAATATTGATAAATGAGATATCTGGCCGTCCTTGCCTACCTTTATCCTCCCCCTTATTTACTTGATGGCATTGGGGACATCCGACTCGATAAGACAATAATAAAATCCTACTAATGGAATTCTTAAATTTGTCATTCATGCAAGGTTTGCGAAACACATCATCTCTCTTATTCTGCAAAAATATGTTAGGGCCAACACTTATCCCTAAATCTTCCTCTGATGGAATTTATATTTTTTCCACGAATATTTACGAAACCATAAGTTCTTGAACATAGCGTTGCATTATTTGCACATATTGTTGTGGAACGACAAACGTCTCCATTTCATGTGGAAGTCATTCTAATTCTTGTCCTGTATGTGCTGCAAGCCCTGTTGTGGGATGTTCATGTAACACATCTCTGAAGATTTATGGTGATGTTAAAAAAAATTTGGGTTCAACTAATGACCCTTCGTCAATAGGCTGATAGATTGTCATAAAAGAAAATGAAAGGCTGATTTCCGGCATCTGGCTAGATGGTTACGGTGTTGGCAACTATGTACTACCTTCCAGGTTTAAATCCCACTGCCAAACTACCCAAAAATAAAGAGAAAAGGCTGAAGGAGTTGGTAATCCCAATGTGCACATACAGTCTTCTAATTAGGCATGCATACCTTCTCAGTTCTAGTGCTCTCACTTCCTCCTTTACTTAAAGCTTCCTCTGGGTCTCATTTCCATTCAGTGGCTCTAATTGATAATTGTACATGGTGACCAAAGAGGAGAATCCAGAGGCAAATTTGTGAGAGCCATTCCACCATTTTGTCTTGGCCAATCACTATTTAACCAACTCTTGCAGATAATGAAACTTATTGTTGTCTTCCATACAAGAATTTGTAATGTTGAGGAATTTTAAATAGCTTGTTTTAAAATTTGCAATGGTTTTCCAAGTGATTATAAGACTATTTTTAGAGGCATTCCAATGTTTCCTCTTGACCTCGTGCTACACAATGAATCATCGCTTGTACAATAAGTTGCTATTTTGTATCAAGAGTTTAATGGGCTGCCGGATTCACTTCAATCTGTAAAGTTACTCTTTAATATAAAACTGTAATTGTGGATAAATTTGTTTTGACCTCCCTGTATCGTTGACTTTTTTAACTTTGCTAATGTTTGTTATATCTGCCAGCATCAAAATGTTGCATTTGGCTGCACGAGGTGCTTAGTACTTGAATATCCAGCATTACAGCTATCAACACTTTCCCTGCTGTTATTTATAGAAAAACTTTCCCAGCACTTGCACTGTTATTGCGACCTATCTTCCGTCAACTATTTTAACAACTAACGTCAACGTGACTACGCTATGTTTGTTCCTATGATATAGTTCTCTCGATGTCATGATATGAAAAAGAGCTTTTATAACTAGGCCAATGGTTGTTGGGCCTCAATTATGAGGATGAAGAACCAATGAATTGATGATATTACGACAAGATAAGACAACAAGATCTATCATACCTATGCTTATAGTAGTTTATCAAGACTATTCTGTTGAGCATAGAACTCACCTCTTTAACCACTTTTTGGATTTCCTTTCCCTTTGATCTTCTGGAATACCTTCATGGTTGCTGCATACGACCAATTTTTTAAAACAAGGAATCACTCTGGGACTTGGTGGGTCCCTTGCGTGAGTCAACTGGCGGTATCCCAAATCAGCTCAGGAAGGCTTGTGGCAAGTCTCTAGGAGCCAGACAATTCCCCAGAAAATATTAAACAATAAGCAAGAAGAATCTGAAAATTAAAGAAAACCTAGGAAAACTAGTTAGAAAAAACAGAGCAAAAAAAAAGAGGTACCTTTAGATTTTTGCTGAAACCAAAAGATTATATGCTCCAATGGGGGTACATCTTACATTCACTCCCTTGGGTAAGGCCCTATCTAGAGTATTTTCAGGACCCCACAATTTGGGGATGTAACCTCAATGTCTACCACCCTAAAACAAAAAGGCAATTCACTCGGGTAAAACCCTATCTAGAGTATTTTTTGGACCCCAAAGTTTTGGGATGTAACCACAACCTGACTACCAACACTTGAAAAAAAAAAAATATTTCCAGGCACGCTTTGTATGTGCCTAAACGTAAAATATCATCCTAAATGTTTGGACACTCAGATCTAAATGTTTAGGAGCTCAAAATCCTTTTTTTTAAAATATTCATATGGTAATTTTAAAGTGGATCCCAAAATTTTAGATCAAAATATCCTCTATAGGAGGTCTTTTGTCTGAGGGAGTAAGTGTACAGTGGCCTCCCAGTGTAGTATGCTCAATGCACTTTTGCTGAAAACCCTAGATCTGGTGAGATTAGAACACCTTTCCTAGGGAGAGGAGTAGGCTTTCTTTGAAATTTCAGAATATGATATGTTTCACTAGGTATTTTGGTAGTTTTTGAAGTTTATCTCGATATTTTTGTTCAGCGAAGAGGTGTATGAAAGGAGAGGATTTACGGAACAAACCCTTGGTCTCTCTGGATCTGAAGATATTTTTTGCTAAAATTATTTCAAGAAAAAAGATGAAAGAGAAAACCAAAAAATACATACCCAATATTTGGGAACCACCATGGGCAGTTGATCTTGCAATTTCCTTCTACAATCATGTGTAAGACAAAATACTCCTCAAGTCCTTATCCCAAACTTTGGAGATGATCAGATTTAGGATCTGTGAAAATTGGGGATTCACCAATCTTTCTCTAGACTAAAAATCTCAAAATATATAGATTTTTCTGCTAAAAGTGTTCCACCCACCCCTACCCTCTAAATAAGAAAGAATTTGCCTAAAAATAGGAACGTTATCTTTCGGTTCCGGAAGGAAATATTATACTTAAAAAGAAATGTGTGCACCGTGCGAGTCCTCAAGACTCGCTATAGACACGGGGCTTGCGTGAGTATGCTAAGAGACTTGCCTGTGTTTTTGAGAAAAATGACATTTTTGACTTGCCTGTGTTTTTTTTGAAAAATAAGATTTTTTTTTTTTATCATTTTGCCTAGTTTTACACAAATAAAAATGGGGACATGCCTGAGCCAAGTGGGTTCCCACTACGATTCCCTGAGTTGTAAAATATTACAGATTAGTATATCTTATCTATGGCTGGTTCTTATGGTACATATTTCTATGCTAGTGTAATCGGCAGAGTTGGATAGGGGATTTGGTTTCTTTTACACTATGTAGTATTTTTGTTTTTCGCCGACAATTTCATCAACGGCAGTCCATTTTGGTATTGAACTTCTTTCATAGTCTTGTCCTACAATTGTTATTGAACTTGCTTGCGTGGAATACTTTGTTACTAATTTGGCCTTCTATTACTTATTATGTGATGCAGATGCTGATATCTTTCAAGGTAGAAAAGCTGGTAATATCAGCTATTCCTGATTTAGTGGATACATGGACCTCAGGCTTTGGATTTAAACCCTTGGAAGATTCAGAAAGAGAAGAGTTCATTGACATGAACTTAATGATGTTTCCGGGGACAACTTTACTAGGGAAACGCCTTTCTGGATGTAAAGAAGTGGAAAACATAGAAGCTGGTGAGCATTTCTTTCTTGTGGTTCTCTCCTCCCTGGAATGTTTATATGTGATGAAATATGGGAAACACTTAGTCCATGTTTTCTTCACTGGCCAATGAAATGATAGAGGATGTAGATAGAGTGGTACAACCATAGAGGTCCAATCCTTTCCTGGTGGGTCTCACTCACTCCATCACCTTCCATCATTTCAGTGGAAAATGGTGACCCTGTGGACCAAGGTATTTCATTGAATAATACTATATTTTATCTTATATGGTTATAATCCTGTTATCACTTAGTTTATGTCGATCTTGAACAGCTCCTGAAGAATATTTGTCATTGAAAGCAGATGAACCCAAGGAAGTGGGTTTCAGTGAAGATAGGATTGTTTCTGTTGATGAAATGAATTTAGGGGTCAACTCTGGCAGAGGTTTGATTCAGGAATTCGAACATGGTGAGACTGATAGTTCCAAATTGTCTATAAAGAAAATTGTTTCTTCCTCTGTAGAAAATGAACCAGAACATATTGACTGCAATGCCATGAGCAAATGCTTGGATGCCTCAGAAGTAATTCCTGTCAAGGAAAATGTTTCTGGAGTGAATCATTTATCTGCCAATAACATGTCTCGTGGTACGGATGTATACTCTAATCATGTTTCTAGGGGACCTTTGATTGGGCAAGATTCTGCATGTATGGATCCAAAGTCCAAATCAGATAGGAAAATCAGCTATAATGCCCATGATGCTAATGATTCATCCATGGGAGGCATGAATGGCATGACCAACCAAGAAAATTGCATCTGTGATTCAGAATATTCCAAAGGTGGCACTTTTACCAAAACAATTAGTACTGTTATGGGTCATGTAGAAACAATTTCGAACACAATCGAGGAAAAGAAGGATGATGCTTCGAGTTCCCCTTTGACAGTTGATAAATATGAGGATTCTGAGGTATTGTCCTTAAGCAAGCCGATATCCGTGGAGTTTGATTTGGCTGGTGCTCCGGTAGATGTTTCATCTACTTGGAAGACCCAACTTTCTTCTAGCAAATACTCACTGGACGGATTAGAAGAAAATTTGCAAAAAGACATAGCCATTTCTGGAAAGGAGTGCTCATGCATGAGTGAAAAGTCAACTGATTCTTGTCTGAAAGAAAATATGGATCCTAGAGAACCCGTATCAAAGGATTTGACTGAGAATGCCAATGGTGAAATGGGTATTTTACAGGAAATTAGAGAAGTTAACTGTCAACTGTTAAAGCATGGGAAAGCTGAGAATCTTAAAACAGAATCTGTTTCTAATGGGAGCCCTTCTCTTTCTTCTGCAAAAGGTGAAAAAGATGACATAGATGACATGGACACTGAACTGAAAGATCTCCCTTCCCATGTTTCAGGATGTGTAGAACTTTCTGAGAGTACTTTTACTGGAAGTGCAATAAGCAAGACATCTGATACCCAATTGGATGGGATTTTTCCTGGTTCTATTTTAGTGTCCCTGGCTGCTCCAGTTGAGCCTCAATTTTCAGCAGCTGCTCCAGACATTAGCCTATAGTAATGGCTTCGGAGATGGTAAATTTTGTCTAGAGTTTTTGGCGGAGAAGAATGTCCAGTCGCTTTTGACTGGGGCTTCCCAGATGGGTTCTCAAAGTTGCAGAGAAGGCAGTAGTTGGATTGAAAATAATTCAATAGAATACCTAACTCACTATTCACTAGTTTGGAGATATTTTGATGGTTGGGCTTTCTCCTGTGGGAAGAAAATGTCATTCCCAGAACCAGCTTTAGAGGCTTATATGATGCAAATAGCAAATGGGAAGCACTAGATTGGGCCTCAAATGATGAAGTCTGTTGCTTATAATTAATTGCAAAATTTTGCTTACTCAAGAGGGCTGTGTATAAATAAACTATGGATGCACACAGGTGTTTCTTTTGAAGCACATCTATATCAATGGGATGCTTGGTTTGGAAGCATTAAATTTTGGTGGTATATGTGAATTTGGAGTAGCACAAGATGATCATTCCTGATGATGGCACAAACGATGAGAAAAACATTGTGTATACATTTCTGGTTTTTATATAGAATGTAGATATGCTGAGAGAATGCCTTGTGTGGAGACTGTCAACTCACCTTGATGAGGCAGAAGTGATTTAGACATGAGCCCTTTGGAACCTTGAATCCAGACGATGAAGCCACCTGTCTTATAATGAATGAGGAGGCCACATATTTTGGTTGTTATCGAGTCTGTTTCGCTTGTTACAACTTGCAAATTACAAAAGTGTAGCTAAGCGAGAAGATTCATTTTGAATGTCATTGAATTCAGTTTGGTTTCCATCTTTAGCAAAGCCATGTGAATCTTTTGAAGTTTTGTTGGCAAATGCTTGTTGCCTAGGGATCTTGCAAGGCAGAAGCCTCTCTAATTTTTTTGTTAAAGCTCAGGTAATGCATTTATGCTAATAAATAGATTTACTTTGTAATCACAGTAGTAATTTTATAAATTTCTATCAGAGAGCATCATGTTGAAGAATATTGAAAATATTGGCGTAAGTATTATATTATCTAGATGACCATAGAAACGTATCTGGTGAGTATCATTTCTGTTCAATGGATGGATGGTGTTGGTGAGAGGTATCCACCATTTAGTATGATCCAAGTGGTTGGTCCCACTCTCTCTCCATCACTGCCCATCCAGTCATTTGACAGTGATAAACAGTTAGTGGCCATTGGTTCTTGATGGTCAACTGGATCATAGTATAATTTCCCAAGGAATATAAATGTTGGCTATGTGTGTCTATTTGTTTCTAAACTTTATATTTTATCATTGTGTAAGCTACACTTGTGAGAAAATTTAAGTCTTATATCTCTCAAGTCTCAACAACTATGGTCCCCACAGATTTAACCTTGAATGTGGTGGAATGCTTGACCCTATGAACATGATGCAATACATGTACCTGCAAATACATCTCTATGATACTTGCAAATACATCTGTATGAAACTTCCCCAAGTACAGAGTGTAATGCATAACTAGCTTGTCCCAATAAATGACACTGATGATTTCTGGATAAAGTACTTGTCAAGACATTGTTCTAGCACTTTAAGTAGAGGAATATATAAGGTCAGATATCACCTTCAACAACTATTTGATTTGCTAAAACTATAAAAATCAATCTATGTCATTCGTTATCACTCATTGGTTTTCCACAACATAATAGAAAGAAAGAAAGTAAAAAATTTAAATTATTCATCTAACACCTGGTCCTGCACTTGTTCCTACTGCCATTTTGTTGCAGCTTTGCGGTCAGCCTGGCGTGGGAATTGAGAACTGGTTTCTACTTATTATTGCATGGTAAAACTATGTTCCAAGATTGAGCATGATTTACTACTAGACTTAATTGATAATAAAACAAAAAGATCCTCCAACAGACACACATGAGTGTGTGTGTGTGTGTGTGTGTGTGTGTGAGAGAGAGAGAGAGAGAGAGAGAGAGAGAGAGAGAGACGTACCTACAACACTCATGAGTAGTAATTCGTAGTAGTTACTTACTACTATACGTCTCTACTACACCTATACGTAAAGTGACTATACTACGTAACGTAAGGTACTTATTAGTAA